TGACGCCATTCGTTGTTGCTTATTCTGAATCGGTTGAAAGGGCTTAATTCAGGATTTTCTATTTTTTATGGAGGGAAATTCATTTTCCCATTATTCCCAATTGTTGGTGAGGAATTTAAAGCCCTTTCTTGCATCTTTCCGATCGGGGGTTCGAGGAGAATTGTGTCTTTATTCTTGGTGTTTGACGTTTCTCGCAATGTTGACAGTCTAGATCTGTTGATTACGATCATGATGTGATACAAACTCCTGGAGAGCATGGTTTTTAATCCAAAACTAAACTGCTATAATTTATAAGGGAACTCAAAAATGTTGTCTGGATAGCACAATGTTTCTCGGTCACTGATGGAGATGATATAGATTATCTTTTGAGTCAAGAAAACGCTTTTAAAATTGATCTGAATACGTTTCAAGCGTATATACAATTCCAATATTTCCCACCCAATATAACACTTCATGGCATGTCTGTCATTGTTTAAAAGGTACTTGTTAAGATTTTTATGTCGTTTCTGATCAATTTTATGGAAAGAAGGAGACAAACCAGACGAAAACGAGCCTCCGCTTGTTTTTTTGACAGAGCAAGATCCAGGCTGCAATAGAGCTGGAACAAAATGGCAGAAAGCTCAACAAGTCTGACGAAACACAATAACATAAAACCTAAATGAGTGATCAGAATTCCATAACAGAAAAGAAATATTTTTGATTTATGAGACTAGAATTTATTTCCGATTTCTGTCCGAGAAATGGGGCATGACGACCCCATAAAAGGCGTCTGATAAAAAAGGATATTTTGACTTTTCGCTATTCGACCATCCGATAGATGTTTGAAACTTTCTAAATTCTAAATTCTCAATTACTTATTGTTCCTGAAACTAAGAAATCGCGGGGGTCGGTCAATTATTGTACCTCACATACAGAGTCAGTCGACAAGACATTCGTAATATTTCAAGCCAAGTTTCCTCTTAAAAACTCACAAAAACTCATCTTTTCAAAAGTGCTTTTTAGTAGATATATATGTATTTTCTAACTTTTCACATCTGTTTTTTTATGTTTCCTATTTCTTTTACGCATTAAGAACATTAGTCGTGTGGATTGGCGCATTAGTAATGCTCTATATCACTATTATCATTAGCTTATTCTCTTAATAATAATAATATTTTGAGAGTGGAATCCATTATTTTGAGCGCGGCTTTCAACTCCAGAAAATGAACTCTTATTATGGCTCCATAAATTTCGAACAGTATACTCAATATATCCATGAATCACACGTACTGAACTATTATTGACCTAGAGTGCAGCTTTTAGCGATATCGAAATATATTTCGCCCATTTCTATATTCTTTTTTTTTTGTGTGTGTAAACTCCTTTACAATGAATGGATAATAGTTCCCATCAGCTTCAAAATCGACAACGTGACTATACGCGGTAATTTCAACCGCATTTCCTATCCTCGCTCATCCCCTTTTGTTTGGAAAATTTGAGGTTAGTTCCGTACTTGACTTTTTAATTCATCTGCGAATGTTTTTCTGACCTTGTTATAATTGCTCTGCAATGATGTGATAGAGATTATGACTTAATCCCGTTGTTATAATACTACTCCCAAAAAGGATTTAAGCACGTCGTTAAATTTTTATATTTGGGGAAGTACCTAGGGGACTCAAGGGTGAATGTGATAAGGAGCATTTTCATGGTTGGTTCTGAATTAAGGTTCAGGAGATAGAGAGGGGGTGTGGTAATAAGTTAAGGAGAAACGGGATAATAAGTTTCAATGGGTCATTGTTTTTATCATACCACGGGTTCATTTTTGTTTATCCCAACGATAAAATCATGGTTTTGATTTGTATAAGGTAAGAGAGGAGGGGGAGGTGAGGAGGGGTTAGAAAGGGGGAAACGAGGGAGAGGAGGAGGAGGAGGAGGGAGGGTGGTGGAGGGTGGGGAGGGTGGTGGACAAGGCTAACCTTACCGGGCTTATACGGATCATCGCATGATGGGCTTCTCTTCCAAAGTCAGGGCTATCGATATATATCTCTCTATATAGCCTACATATTTAGAATATTCATCAGAAGTCATTACCATGACGGATATATCTGCTTCCTTTTCATTTTTTTTTCCAATTATAACGCTCCGCTACTATCTATGGAATGCTAATTAAAACTGCAATACAGATTATTCGATCTCTCTCATAATTATTATGTTAACTTCGGTATATCAAAATGTCTTGTAGAAAAACCTTAGCCCTCCTTTTAAGCATACATACAGGGTTAAATCAAGGAGGGGGTAACATTATGCACCACTGAAGAGCAAGGAACCACCATATTGTCCTAATTCCAACACCCCTTTTCCACTCTCAGGAAGGGGTAAACCATAACACCCTATAAAGCATAAGCGACCACCATTATTTCTTACCTCCAACACCCCTTCCCGATCCCAGGGAGGGGCCCTTATGCACCCCTACAGCTCAAGAAACCTTCTACCCTGCTTCTTTCCGCTCTTTAAGCCTCTCTTGTCGTGTACATTTGACTTTATGTATACTTCAGTGACCATTATCATAACCCGCAGGAAACACAATCCGTTGAGTTCAAGTGTACTTTCTTGCCATTTTTGTTCCTGCTACTTTTAATTGTTTAATTTCAACATGGCAAAGAAGACTCGATGTTGCTTTAAGATTTTGATCAGTCTTTGATGGGATTAACCCATGTATTGTGTTGCATTTCGCAATATTGGATGTGGATCATAGAGTTTATAGGTTGGTCTCGTTGACTACTGGAATGGTCTACTGGGTTGTCTCGATGAAAGAAAAATCGTGTTCATAATTATATTAAAAGAAAAGACGAACGTTAAAATAGGAAATAGTTATGCATCATGGTATTCAATAATTTAACTATCATACTAGATCACATTTCTACAACTCTCAATACAACAAGTTGTTTCCAAGCACCATTCTGCAACTTTTCAGTTCAACTACAATCCCGCCCCCCCCCCCCACTCAGTGTTATTTAGAGTACGCATAATTATGCTCGTACCCTCTTTTTGAAAGCACCCCCTATCTGAGGACTGTCATCATTTCCGAACCCCCCTTTCGCGGGCTTTTCGCGGGCTTTTCCTGCCTTGGAGACCCCCCTAAATCAGGAAAAATACTCAATGTACCCCCCTAAATTCGGATTAATTTCTCAGGAGTCCAAAGAGATGAGAGAAAAAAAGAAAAATACCCCCTTTTTAAAGAAATCTCCGGGTAAAAAGTCAAATACACCCCTTTTTTTACAATTCTCGGGCCGGACTTTGTCGCACGAAAAGTACCCCTTTACCGGACATTTTGGCAACACGCATGCGGTCATTCCGATCTCTGAGTGGGGGGGGGGGGGGGGGGGGGGGGGGGGGGAGGGGGGGGGGGCCGGGACTACAATCTATATTCTATAGGTCATAAATTTTTAAAATAATGCATTGATATTCACAAAATCATGCAATGAAAATTTAACTTAGCGTGTATTCCAATGAAGATGCATGGGTTTCTCTCACATAACTAGATATTAAATCTGAATTAAAATCGACTTTTATATGACGTCTGAAACACCTTCGACTCTGAGTGCTGAGGAACGAAGGAAGGAATTTAAAATAAAAAGAAAATTATCTGAACAAGCCCCCCAAATGGATATCTAATTGAACATTGAAAACATTGAAAACGACGAATGACATACCCTCTTATAAGATGATGCCCATGCACTGTAATATTGCTAAACTGACAAAAGGCTACCAGGTCATACGGCATGTGGAAACGCACTTCTTATTCTCAACGTTGAGTTCACCTGTACTTTTCAATCATTGTTCAGCTCATTTTTTCCTTTTCTTTTCAAATTTATTTTTGGGATTTTGCTCGACAGATAATTTTACAAGCATCCATTGTGGATCTCAGTGTCACTGGTGAAAAGAATTAGTATCGTTTTGGGGGATCAGTAGCGATTCTTTGTGCTCTTTCTCAATCAAGGTATTTATCGGTCCATTAAATACTTCCTGTGCGGAATGATACCTCCGTCACACCGCCAAACCGCCCGACTCCAACTCGACCGATCTTTGGTCATTCGAGGATATGTAATTTTATGTCTGGTCTGTTGTCAGTCTATTGTCGGTCTCGTCAGTGTGACTGAGGTAAAGAATCCATTCGTCTACATGCGGTTGTTCCAGATGAATTCCATCTTTCCTTAAAGTCCTACCTTAAAGGGTAGATACAGTATTCAACAACAAAAAATGAGTATACCCCCAATAAAAAATTGAATATTTTATCACAACTTTGTAAAACTGTTTACAAAGATGTGTTACAAAAGCAAGCCTTAAAGCAGTGGTAGATCTGCGATTCTGTAATAATGTACCTTGATAGATATAATTTACTTATTAGATGAAAACAGTGCAGAGCGCTCAGGAGTTACATTGGAATGTTAGACTTTTAATAGGGCCTAGGGGTGTACTCACTTTTGTTGGATACTATACATGTACGCATGCACCGGACAGGATCCTCAGCATTTTTGGGAAAATAAGATTCCCCGATTTTTCCCTATTCTTATTTTTCCTGATAGAGTTTCAAAATGTGAGGATCATTCATTCATTTTACACACTAAAATGCCACCATATACATGTGTAACTTATCATCTAGTAAATGTAAATATGCTGGGAGGACACAGGCCAATAGAAGCGACTCTCTGGTGACTACTTTCTTTTGTGAAAAATAAAAATTGTAGTGATTTTTCCCCCTGATTCGAGTCATACAAATCAGGGAACTTCAGAAAAACCTTCACATTCTCTTACTTAACAACTGTTCTGAAATTGGAAATAACAATGTTGGCTTAAAACAATGACAGAAAAAAAAAATCATATACATGTATTGACATTTGTAAATCCGTCTGTTTCATTTTTCAAAGTACACACGATTAAACATCAAATTCACAGAGTTATAATTCACAAACCACAAGTTTTATTAGTAATTTAAAAAAAACAGACAGAGAGACTCAGCATTTCATAGTTGCAAATTTAGCATTTATTTCATTCGTATAGCATTACAAAAAGAATCATGTTCATTTATCCGTTTCATCTTTTAATTCTCACCGTTTACCAGGCCACTGGTTCTATCACAATACCCTGGCAATTTTGGGGCCAGTCCGAGATTAAATATTTCATACTTTGATACCAAGAGGGCAGTATAACTAAAATTAACTGCAACCTGTCAAATCACCGATGATAATGCATCAAGTACTCATGTTTAGCAAAAAAAAAAAAAAAAAAAAAACACCTTTGATTATTTATCACTCCAAAGTTAAAACTTTTCTACCATCCTAAGACTTGCACATTGTGCAATTGAAGGATGTAATATATATTGAATATGCGGGGCCCATCTCTTTACTCAGAGTCATGAGCTAATAACAATGGATAGGAAAAGATTTTGTCAGATATTACATGTGCAATGCTCAAAGGAATTGTGTTCAGAATCTTTCAATAAAACATGAATACACGGATCATATGGATTTGATATATCCCCTCCCTAAAATTGAAAAAAAATCAATCTAATGACCAATTTTAAGTACTATATTGACAAGGGTATTTGGGGGGAAAAAAATATTCAAAATACATTTGAGTTATAAACAATCAGAATTGTTAATCTTTCATCCTCATCACAATGATCACATGATTAACTACCGGTAGGCTTTTCCTACATACTCTACAGGAAATTGTGGCTATCATCTTAATCATGTTTTTATAAGAATCACATTCATGATGCTTTATCAAAACAAGTGCAACATTATATGCATACTCCAACCTGTAAGCTTCCACTAAACCTACAGCAAACTTACTACCAGGCAAACTATGGCAGGACACTGCATCTAAAGTAGTAATAATATAATGCACTCATAGTGTGGATCAGTACTGCATTGTGTAAAATCTAAGCATTCATAAATTGAGATAATGTTCATGCTTGCTTGATACAGGCTACTTTTTATAATTCTCTGGCTTGAAAATATAGAACAACAAACTGATATCTTCAGGAAAAGTTCAGGAAATTGTTTGAGACAGGTTGCTTACAGCATAAAAGAGCTTTGTGCAGTAGCTAGCATATCATATATTCAGTTGTTGTATGCTTGTTTCAGACAGCTTGCTTAAAATATATAAAATAATTTCTGAAGATGAAGTTATAGAGCAACAGATTGCTTTTTCCCCTTCAAACAATGAATATGAACAACTAAAAACAAGTGTGTACATGTACAATGAATAGTAAATCTCTAGCTGGCATTAGGCAACAAATTCATTTCAATAAGTTTGATAGTACAATCATTCTGATATGATAAGGAAATCAAAATATCATAGAAAACAACTTTCAAATAGATCTCTCGTATAAACTTCTGACTATCACATATATACGCAACTATAGAACTAGAATGCATCAGAATCAAGTACGTGTATGTAGGAGTTGTGCAACTTCATGGAGTTGCATTTAGTTGCAAATTTTTACACAAGCAGCCCATGATGGAAGACACAGTGACACACTAAAATTCTTCAAAGAGAAGACCGAGTACAAGTAAATGTGAAATTCAGTTTGTGAACTTTCTCATTATTTTCCTCCACACATAGAACACTAACAAGTACCAGAAGTAATATTATATATTTCAAGAAACACTAGAAATACTTTACAACAAGAGACCAAATTTTAACGCCATTATTCCCTTGTGTCCAGTGCGGAACAATGTTTCTGATATTCAGCAAGATTTATTAGTCAAATTCCTTCAAAATGTTGATGATTCTATAACATCATTTCACATGATTATTCTATTCTAAATAACTTGTAGGCAGTTTCTTTCAAAATCAAATTGCATGACAAGAACTCAACATAATCTCTTTACATGTACATGTACGCACTTGATGACATAACTTTGACCTAAAATATAATAATAATTATAATCCGTAGTGCATTTTATATAGTGCATAACACATTACGATATAACGTCCCTATCAATGCACAGTGCATTTCAAGGAATATTCCTACTAGGTACCCATTTACCTCACCTGGGTGGAGTGTGTGACAATTGTAGATTAACGTCTTGCCAAAGGATGTTAGTGCTGTAGCAGGGATTTGAACCCATACCTTGTGGTTTGGAGACTTATCCACTGGACTACAACACCTCTATATTCCAATATATTTCTGGACACCACATAGATTATACAGTACATAGATGTACATTCATGCATCGGCTGTATGTACATCACAATCATAGAACCACACAAGATATTTATGTTGCAGAATGTATACACTTTGTTCTGATCATCCCTAGCATGATGAAGTCTAAAGATAATTTCATGTATAACATAATTGCTTTTCTTCAGAAATACATCTACACTAAAAAAGTATTTTCTTTTACTGTTACATTGATATTGCATTCATAATAATATTAACAAGCATATCTAGAAAATTGATTTTTTTTCTCTTCAGAATAGTAGTTCTTATACTACAGGACACTCACGGTATAATGAAGTGGTTTCGTGGCCCTATGGCCCAATTTTCGTCTGACATTTAAACCCGATATTGGGTTTAAGGCTTCAAGCTTTTCTTCAAAATCAGGTTTAACAAAGAAAGTCAGTACGAGGTCTAAATTTTCCCTTTGTTAGACCAAAGTTCTAACTGAATTTAGTAGAATACAGACCATTGAGTTTGTCAGTATATTATGTAAGTATTTAATATCCTCTACTAGAATAAACACTTTCCTCGTAGGCAAGTTCTTAAACTCCAACAAATCAAAATCACTTTTCATTTAAAAGTTATGGCACTGGTTCTTTAATTTTTTCAAATCCAATATATCACCTGTGCAAATCATACTTGTATAATAAACTTTAGCTCTATGAACACATTGGTCCAATAAATCAAAATAGAATATCATTTTCATTTCTGTATCCGAAGGCATCAGCTTTACAATTCTACACATCACATATACATGAATACACACACTAGTCTGCTCTGATAATAAAGAATATGATCATAGCAATATACATTTTGGGGTTGGAGCACAAAAATATGTGACAGTTTTTGCCGTTTATACATTTTGGCTGTAGTTATAATTTTATAAACTTTTGTCAAGGCCTATGTAAAGGGCTGCACAATATCACATTTTTGGCGACTTGATTACTGTCTGCTGTAATAAAAGCTGTAGGTCCAGCAGTAGCCCAGCTAATATGTCACATAAATAGACACAAAGTGTACTACATGATTTGAAGATGTCTAATTCAGTCATTTTGAAAGAGCTTCATCGACATCTACAGTAACAGGAAGGACTTTATAATACTAGGTCCATTTGTATAGCGCTGCTAATATACGAGTATACTCTTACTGCAGTTAATACAAAGTTTCATATTATTACCCCGGCTGTAGCTGAGCCACAATAATAAGGCACTAAAGCATTCAAGGAATTCCTTCCTACCAGGTACCCACTTACTTCACCTGGGTGGAGAGTGGCAAATGTAGATTGATTAATGTCTTGCCAAAGGACATTAGTGCCACAGCGGGACTTGAACCTCAAACTCTGTGATCCATGGTCCAATGACGTATCCACCAGACCACAACACCTCTCTTTATGGAATCTGATTTTTTTCTTATGCTTATGAAAATGTATGTTCTAAATATTGTCTGGATGAAACCAAATTTGGCAGAAACCAAAAATTTGAATCAAATCAAATCAATTTTTCCTTTAAGATTTCATAGTTTTAATGTAATCTTTCTCTTCATTCTCAACTTCTCGATCCTCTCCATCAGCTTCTTCTTTTTACTCTTCAGCTTAGACATCTTCTTCCCATCAACCCTTCCCTTCCTCACATCTTGTGTTCCGATGCCACTTAAACTCGATAAAGACTGTCCCTTTCGTAAACTACGAGGGCTCTCGACCACACTGCTCTCTGTGCTGAAGCTCGACCCGTTAATGGATCCTTCAAGGATGTTATCGTTACCATCTACTTTGGATGGACATGGTGATTCCTGCATAGAAGAATCATCAGGTTGAACTGTCCTTTCAATGGCTTCATCAGGACTCTGAATGCCTTTGGTCATGGGCGTTAACTGCAGCGGTTGCAGTGGTGACAACACTGTGGCACTGATACATGGGCTTCCTAACGATCCTGGAGACTGGACTCCATTCTCACTTGGACGTTTGCTGATGGTTGGATGGACCGCTGCCCTAGGAGTCCCAACAGCTTGTTCTTCTACCGGTCTGAAATGACGCAGGACCGAAGACAGTGCAGGATTCTTCCTCTTCTTCCGCTTCGGCCATGTCAACAGCTTGCTGGCATCACTGCTAACAGCCTCCTCATATGATCTGTTAGAAGAAAACAAATAGTGAGAATTTATTTTCGTATAAATTGGATTACGCAAAGTAAAGAGGTGTATTCACAGTGCTTGACTTATGCACGTAAAGGCTACAATTTTCTAAGTCTCATCTTCTATTTATTGTTGTTAGATGAGCAAGTGTGCGCTTGTAAAAAATGACGCCTGGCTGGAATGCTCCCCAGGGAATGGAGAATGTGCATACATAGTGTGCGGGTAAGCCTGAATCCGATGACAGGGGTAATAATAGAAATCTGTATAGGGCTTTGAGAGGGCCTGCGGTCCTGAAAAGCGCTATATTAGAACGAATTATTATTATTATTCTAATGGTTACAATATGATACCAGTGGAGTAATCTGTTAAAGTGAGAAAAAGCACTACACAAATTTTTACTCAATTCAAAGACATAATCTGTAACCCTTGTTCACAGAGGCCCACAAGACAATCTGATGTGGCCCATCAAAATGGTCACAAACAAAACATAACAAAGCAAATGATTAAAGATAGTTATTTAGTTCCTGTTTTATGCTAGAATATAAGCGGAAACAAAATACACCATAACTGACCATCGGTATGAATAATGGTCTTGCAGTTTTTAAGACTATTATTGAAAGGTAATTGAAAGGACCATTATAGTAACAACCGATTCACGCCAGCAATGTCACATGTGACAGACATGAAATGCACTATCGCTGGTGTTGTTGTTATTATTATTGTTATTATTATTATTTTTATGATTATTATCATTATAATGACTACGGTATTAATTTTATTGTCATGATCATCAATTGTAGCTCTTATAACCTTACATCTCTGACTAAATATAGCCCAGAGAAAAGATAACCGGTGCAGTCTGGTCACGGAGCGTAGATAAGGGGGGTGTTTCGCAAAGACTAAGATCGACTTTAAGTTGGACTCAACTATGGCAGGCCATTCATGCCACTGGTTACTCTCACCATTGGTCTCTCAATTATGATCTTAAGGTAATATATTTTCATTCAATAATGAACTATCAAAACATGTAAATTCTGTAAATTTGTGACCACGATTTGTACATCCCTTGAAAAATCAATGCCAGAAATGGTTAGAGGAACTAGTGGCCTGAACGACCTGCCATAGTTCAGTCCAACTTAAAGTCAATCTAAGTCTTTGTGAAACACTCCCCAGATCACCAACAATTTCCTACCTTTTTTTGGATGATGACGACGATCTCTTTGGACAGTCTCTCCTCTTGTGGTCGAGAGCTCCACACACATGGCAACCAGCTTGGACCTTACCGCAGTCATGAGTCGCTAACTCACACATGTTACACTTGGTACAGTGGCTGAAGGCTGATGGGTAAGGATATGGAATATGATTAATTCAAATTATCTTAATTATAACTGGCAATCATTTTTATTCCTCTCATATCATGTATGTTGTCTTGAATTTCACTTGAAAACTATTATTTCATGCGTATGGCAAATGGAGGTGAATAAAGAAGCCATGCACAATAGAGGCCCATATGTATGTTATAAGATGCAGAAATGAAAAGTGCACTACGCTTACATCATTTCATTTGGTTGCCGTGGTTTCCCTTTCCATTTGATCTATTTAATAATCAATCCATGCTCATTTTGGTGGGCCTTTAACATTTGTTCCTTTAAAGGGGGACAATCCTTGCAAAAAAAGAGGTAACTTATGTATGTCATAAGATACCAAAACAAGAAGTGCACTACGCTTACATCATTTCATTTGGCTGTAGTCAACCAACCATGCTCATTTTGGTGGGCATTCTTACATTTGTTCCTTTAAAGGGTGACAACTCTTGAAGAAAAAGAAGAAGACAGACTTACATGGCTTAACACATTTGTTGCAGATCTCACAGTGGGTGTATGTTGTACCGTTCTTAGACGGGCATTCCTGGCACTTGGAGCAGTGGATGTTCTCAGCTGCTACATAGCGATGGCATTCCTTACATAATCTGAAAAATAGAACAAAGAAATATTCAAATCTCAAGAAAAAACAGCAGCAGCAGTGGTTGTAGAAATAAGAAGAAAATACATTTAATGAAAGTAGTAATGGTATATTTTAGGCCTAGTATATTTGATTCTTATTATTTCTGTCTGTATTTACTAGTTAAATTATAATTTGCCAGGCATCTTCACCTTCCCCCAAATCTTCAGAAATTTCTTTATCTAAAGCATGAACCCCAATTTTATTGCAAAAGAAAATTAATAACAACTTCTTATATACATGAACACGGATAACACATAAACAACAACTAGAAGAATGAGTTGATGTCCACATAATGAATAAGAGGTTCATGAAACAAAAATCAAGATAACCTAAGAGAGAGAGAGAGAGAGAGAGAGAGAGGGCAAAGGAGAGAGTGAGCTATAATCAGACAGCATCAAGTCGAATAAACAATTTTTTTAAGTAACAACGACCTTTGCAACAGCTTTTGACAAATGCCATTCTTGCATTTAAGATTACACACCATACAGTCTTAACAGTTGTTCATACATTTCTTGGCATTTGTTTACTAAAGAAATGTCAGTACAATGAGACATTTATACAGTCCAACATTCATACCTCACTTTTATAATAAATGGCATACAAGATAAATGTGCATGTATCAAGAGTCATGCACTTTCTCTAATATATCAGAAAGCTTGGTCCCACCTGTATCCTTCAGATGTTGGTAGTTCTATCTTGGCTGGATCAAGGTTTGTAAAGATCCTGACTGGTGATCCTTTCTTCTTGGCATCTGGTCCTCCTTTAAACAGAGGATGGTTGTCGTAATCCACCTGGAAAAAAAGATACCAAGCATGGTCAGAATGTTTATCTGGATGAAAGTTTCTCAGAGACTTCTATGTTCAGGGCTATTCCGTGATGGAAAATTGAACGACAAATTCTTAATTTAAGTTTTGGTCAGCCTTACTCGATGAAAAATTGGTAAGGTTTCTTTGATTTTAGCTGACCAACAGCAAAATACTAACAGTTCGAAGGTGCTGCCAACTTGTTAACTCTCCCGGTGCAATATTGAACAAAGGAGAGGTACAAGTAATACACACTGGGGCCAGGACGTACATATCGCTTGCAACAGGCATGCGTAAGACTGATGTAAAACCTATGAAACTCCATGAGATTGCACTGGAACAAGCTAGGAATGGCTACTATCTGGGTTTGCTATATATTCAAAATAAGGAATATCATCTAGATATGTAGACCACAATGACTGTGAAATCCTGGACAGGCTATCACAAATTTAAAAATTCCCCTTTTTTCCCCCTTTCTTTTTTCCCAGGGGGGGGGGGGGTGGGGTGGCCCCCCACCCCCCCCCCCCCCCACATGTATCTTTTTCGCTACCAACACAGTAAATAGGCATTTACACAATGCATGTTACTAGAAATGACAAACAATAAATGTTTTATTCATTTTCTATACCAAGAATGCGATATAACTGTTAGCAATAGTACATGTATGAAGGCAAAGATTGGCTTAAAAACAATTGTTTTTGTCAATGATTATATTACCAAACACTACCAACGGAATGTAGTACTACTGATCATCTTTACGACTGTAATATGAGAACCCCTTACAATAACTATGCCCCCCTCCCGACCCCTTTCCCCATGATAGATTACCTACCTTATAATCAAGCATTTTAAATCCTTGTAGACCCTCTATGATTCTGTGCTCCAAGAAATATGGAAATATCCACATCACAGGAAGAGATCGACTGACATCTAAAATGAGACAAAATAGTATTCATTATCACATGTAAATATATATAAGATGGATTATTTTACCTCTTCATGGGATTATTTAATTAAATAAAGTAATAAACAACTAACTTAATGTTAATTTACTAAGGATTAGGAGGTTAGGATATTCAGATCATAAACATATACCATTTACCAATTTCCCCATTTTTTTCCTTCGTAACCTTCAATCTTAAGAGCTTTGTTTTGTTGTTGATATAGACACAATGTATCTCCTATGGAACTAAGCTTTACCATGGAAGGTCTCTCTCTTTTTTCAGGAAGAATAGCACAGCCATTCATAGTCCTAATACATTGGTCAAATGATCAACTAACAATTTTCTGGGCATGATATACCAATAGACTTGACTCTTGGAACAAGAAATAGGATCTTTTGAATATTCAAATTTTGGGTATGCTATATTCTGGGTAAACAGTTTTTCCTTAAGTGTTTCTCTCTCTCTATATATATATATATATGTCATATGAATTGTTCAGTATATGGTGAATGTCTTTGGGTTTTTTCCTACTTTTTACAAACAAAGTCCCAAGCAGACCTTTTCTGGATGTTGATGTTTTTTTCTGCTGCTTTTTTTTTTTTATCGCAGAGGTAACATGTCTTGCCTTTTGTGCCACCATCCAGGAGGGATCTTTTAGTGTTTTTTTTTTTTTTAATGACATTTTTTTTTAATGAGAAGAAAGATATATATACCAATAAAAGTATGGAAAAAGTTGATGTGTGCAAGCAAAATAATAAAATTCTTCTTAATTAATTTGACATCTCTTGACCTACGTGTGACATTTGACCTCCACATCTCCATGATCCACTTGACCCCTGACGCTAGGGCATCCACCATACCCCCGAAGGGTGGGTCCGTTACCATGACGACCCCTTCACCATCGTCTCTTGTCAGGAACTCCCTGCATGACTCCTGACTCTGGGCACCATCCAGGAAGTAATGGTTGAACATGTTGTACCGGCAGAACTGGGAGGGCGGATAGAACTGGCCCTGAAAACACAATAGGAGACAGAACAAGGATATTAAACAGAACTCTTATTGTTAGCACACGTATATTGGAAGTGCTATGTAAACTTACAGAATGTGAATAAAAATTGAGAATGAAAAAATCAAGGAAGAAGTAGTTGAACACATTGTCTCAGTGCAACTGAGATGGCAGATAGAACTGAATCTGGAAACATAGTGAAGGTAGAAGACAGAATAACGACACTGTTCAGAATTATCATGTGCAATTCAAATTCTTTAAATGAGAATAAAAATAACAAAATTAGAAACATTTTTATTGCAAAATGCATCAATTAAAGTGTAAGGGAAAAACAAACTAAATCACTTTAACTCATAGCCTGCCATATGGCTGCATGCACACTATCGTTATAGTGCTTTGTACATGCTAGAGGGCCATCGCTTGAGTGCCGTGTGCGTGCAATGCACCATTCGTAATAGCAGTTATTGTTCATGCTCATTGGACTGTGCTGTGTATTTTGCACTTGCTATTCATAGAACCATCGCGTTAAACAGATTATCTCCAAAACAACCTGGCACGGGGGGATTTGGGGCTTGGCACAATGGGGATTAGCCCTGTGGCATGATAAGAGTTAAGGAGCTGCTGCCCCCCCCCCCCCCCCATTACAGGAACTGAAACATTACCATTACCCCTAGCATTACTCCATAATGTGTACAAAATCAAGAAGGGGACCTAGCCTATCTCCTGTGCCCCGCCCCCCCCCCCCCCCCCCCACACACACAGAGCAACATTGTGCCTGTACACCTATGTTTTGGAATAGGGTTAGTTACAGTGATATTTCAGATAGGAATAACAGTACAGTGATCCATGTAGATGACATCTGCATCTGTACTCATATACTTACAAATCTGTGATCGATATCAAGTAGCAGACTCTCTAGACCTGATGAAGTATCGGCCATGATTTGTTCATGTAGCCTAAACAAAACAAAGGTGAGTAAAATGGAGAAAATGATCAGAAATCATGAAGTAATTAACTCTTGTTTTACCTGTGTCACACATATGTGACAAAGAATCTAGGTTTTAATGATTAGTCATTGCTCCCCTGGAAGTCTTTATGTGGTGTTATTGTTTAAAGGGATCCGGTAACTTTGTCTTAGATTCTTAAAAAAAATCCTTGATTTAGCTCATGTTGCAATGATATAACAAACCTTTAGGTCAGTCATGAACCCCATGACATTTACAAGCAGATCGCCTGTCTGATTATCAAGATATTAATGATTGAAAATCGAAATCAAATTTTGCGTTAGCCAAAAGGTTTTCATAACACTACAGTCTATGGGAAAAAAACAAGTATGGAAAACCGGTTACTCAAAGGTTTCTACTTTTTTGAGGCACTTCTTGATCATTTTGAAGCACAATTTTTTAGGGCTTCAATATAACACCATATCACAGACACTGATAACATGTAGGGCCGTGCATCTCAGATATAACATTGTTAAACGATCTCTTTTACGCACAAATTAAGCATTCTAAATATCAAAGAAAAATTTGTTATAGTGACATAGTGTAATGGTGTTATCCTTTTCAATACTTTATATATGCCCAAACTGAGCGAAAACAAGTTCAGTGTGCTTGGGGAAGACACTTGATTTTCTGTCGATGAATAAATACCTTACCATACCTCACCTTACCTATTCAAGTCTATCTGCACTAGTTTGGCCATGAGAGATTAGACCTCCCTGCATGGTCACTGACAGGTGGTTATCTCATCAAATCAGCTCTCGATTAGCATAAGAAAAAGGGAACCATGGGGGACCAATGGTAACCCCTTAGGCATTGTTTGCTATATAGAGGGCGCACGTAGCTATAAGTAGTGCAGTTGGGCTTTAATAAATGAAGTAGTTTTGGTCAAGTTTAACGTAAATGTCATCTTACCTTGGAACACCTACACATAGTACTCTCTTGAAGCCCAGAGCTTTCACTGTCTGGATGAAGAATGCCACTGCCTTGGTGGAAAATAGGTATTGCTGTGGAGAAAGAAATTTATTAAAAGTTATTATTTAACTCCTAAAATGACCTACCCAATCAAAATGGGAGCAAAGGAATTCGGCAATCAAATCGAGTTACCGTAGGCAAACTTTTTGGTGACAGGTAAAACATTGCACAATGATTTAGTCTACACAAATCTTAATGGGGTGAGCAAATTTCCTTTTTTGTTGGGGGGGGGGGGGGGGGGAATCATTTCAGGAAAAAAAGAAAGAAAATTCTACGCCTGGATTAGACAAACATTATAGTGTTCAATTTCACCTTAAAATAGAAGAGTTCTGTATTTTAGCCCAAAATGAGCAGTAATTGTCAAACCAGAAACTTCAATGGGCATGAAATGTTCCCAACTTTTGGTGGGGATTCTCAAACGTTTTGTGATGTGAAATTTGTGATGTGAAATAATTGAATCACAACTGACACAACACTAAAAGTTTGCATGGCGCAAAATTTTCTGGACATGAAAGTTGCTCTCAGTTTACAAACTGCAGTTATAGAGTACTTAAAAATGTAACGGTATTGGTATTCAGTATTGATGTAGGTTCTAAAATGATTGCTCATTTATAATTCTATCGTGAAAAAGGTGATCTTCACTGTAAGTGACACAATAATTGGGATTAACTTCTTCTTTTCATGAATCATTGCTTGACGGTAAACCACCTTCTGTATTGTGGGCCTACATTCTACAGCCCTGTATCTTTCATAAAAGAGACTCACCGCATTGGTTTTGTTATTCTCAATAGCCTCCATCAGATAGCTGGGTTTTGCCAAGTCTGGGTTAGTGATTCCCTTCTTGGTGCGATGTTTTATGTGATCAGGCTGTTCATCTGGTAGGATGAGCAGCTGGCAATCATAACAGAATGTTCTCTCATCCTCAGCAAGGCTCTCTGTTGTGATGAATCTAAAGAGGGGAAAGTTTGCAAAATATTTGACTGTAAAAGCATCAATTCTACCATATACAGTTAATAATTTGATTGTGGTACGGTCAAACCTGCTTTAGTGACCACTTGTGTAGAAAGACCACCTGTCTACAAAAACCACATTCTTTGTTTCCCTTGAAAATGGTTTCTCATTAAAACATGTACTAAAGGAACCTGTACATAAAGACAATCTGCCTTTAAAGACCACTTTCCTTGTCTCCCTAGGGTGGTCTTTATAGACAGGTTTCACTTTATTATAAGATGTATCCTCCATGATAGACCTCACATCAAGTCATCAACAAACATCTGTCACACGTGACACTTATGGTGCTAGAGTGGTATTACTTCAGGTTTAGCATAGCTCGATATTCATTGATTTATTAAGCAATAACTATCTGCTAAGCCCAATGGGGTTATCATTTCTTCAAAACTAATCAATGAACAGAACATGGATACAAATAAAAAGTTGTTTCATAATAGAAAAACAGTGTTTTTAATATTATATTTCAATACACATTGTATACTACATGTAATCATGTATAAGCAATAAGATTTTTTGGACATTTTTGTTTCTTTCAATTGTGACATTATCTTTGTTAAGGCTACTAAAGGAAATCCAATAAAGTTTGTTTTTGTGCTAGAAACTTTGTGATTAGTAATTACATTGTATAATCTATAAAAAAATAAAACATAAAATCATAACTGTAATATGCTTTACAAACCTTTGGTAATAATCCTCCTGCCGTTTCCAGGGTTGTCTGGAGCGGTTGTACTCCTCTCTCATCTGTTGCTTGAAGTCTGAGACGATCTCAGCATTGGTGTGGAGCTGGAAGAACCCACAGTCCTTCCTATCTCTGCAGGCCGAGCAGGCATAGTAGCGTTGGCTTGTGTCCTTGCCTGGGGTGAATCGCTCAAACAGAAGGGTTGGTCCTGTTAAGGGAAATTAAAAGAAAGTTGTATGTATTAAAATAATATATAGATATCCATGCAGCATAGACAAGCTTGTTATTGGGAATTTCTTTCTTTAATTAGATTGTTAATTCATAAGTCACCATATTTTCTTTTATACTGTCATTACACCCTGCAAGTTTGGTTGGTGTAGCTTTGGTACGAAAAATGGCAACAGTCTTGATTTGTTGACACAATAACAAAAAAGATTTCGTCTTTATTTCATATTAATCGTGTCAAAAATCTACCTTGCCAATGGCTCATGTATTGTAATGAGCGATTGTGACTTTCTGTGCTGTGTCAGTGTGTAACTTTTGCATAGACTCTACATGTACTCTTTAATCCTAGACTTTCTTGTTGTAGATCTAGACAACATTCATTGACAATTGATTCAAAATTTTCTTTTCTTCCATTATTAAACATAAGATTATCTTTTTCTTCCATTATTGAACATGTTAAATAACATTCAGTTCACACATTTATACAAAGATAATGAACTCATGATTCTGAAATCTGAATTATTGCTAGGGAGGCCAATGCCCGGGCGTAAGGCTTCTACGCCTACGATTTGTGCGCTCGTCGTCCAAGTCAGAAAATTACCAGAAGAAAAAAAAAGGGAAAAAAAAGAAAACAAATATCTATGGAATAAAATGTATAACAAATACACAATTACACACTCCACAACATACCTATAATCACGGATCTGTAACAGTCTTTCACCCTTTGTTGACGATCTTGCAGATTTTGACGTATTTTGATCCAATAATTGCGCTAGCAGACGAAAATAACGGACGCACAAGAGAAACTAGAAGGGTCCTAGAGGGCGATGAGGTTAGCTCACTAAAATCCTTCTCAATGACTGAAGGTAGAGCCTAAAAATATGGAACCAATTTAATATCAAAGAACTTTTGATAGAGATTAACATATCAGTTGTGCACAAATGTCACTTTTAACAACTAGAAAATATAACGAAAAACGATCATATCTTTTTAATTGCAGATTTTTACAAACTGCACATACGAAGGTAGATAGAGTACGATGTTTTTGTCAATCTTGCGTTGGTTTGAGCCCCATAGCTAGAGCCATCTCAAATTGGGGTGGAAAACTGTGAACAGAGACATGATTGTTCGAGCCCCAAATTGAAGTCTTGCGACATCATTATATGAATATGTATGAGCTCCGGTCTCATCGCGCGCAAAACAAATTTGACGTAGTCTCACACATAGTACCTTATTCTCAGCACTAGGTCAGTGTCGTGCAGTAATGTATGAGAAGTGTAAAAAAAGACATTTCAGTAAAAAAAAAAAAAGTGAGCAGTCTATACTCCAATTGAGAAGTGTAATGAATGCCATGATTTGAACGTGTGTGTTTTAGTGTATGATATCATCATATGGTTAGTGAGAGAGAGAGAGAGAGAGGGAGAGAAATATCTCCGTCAGTACACGTCTATCAATGCGTGCAGTCCTATTGACTATGTTTGATTCCGTATTGTGTTCGCTGCAACTGTTGGATTTATCGATCGTATTGTGTTCGCTGCAACTGTTGGATTTTGCAGTGTCAGATTGATCTTTACTCATGAGGAAATAATTGGAATACATATCAAAACTAAGGTAGGCCTATTTATTTATTTCAATAATTTTCTTAATTTACAATGAGTGGTTTTCGAGCTTTCTCTTTTGACCCTCCATGCCGTGGCATGGCTAGCATGGCTCGATTGCGGCTTGCATGCAATTACCGTACCTGGACGGCCTGCAGTACTGTGTCGGTGTGTGCGACTAATTCAAGGCTAGCCGGTGATGATGAATGTACTTTCGCGCGAAGTTTTGAACTTGTTGTCCGGGCAATGACCATGATGACACGCCCATTCCCTCGGGCCTGTCTAATTCTCGACGTAATTTTTGGGACCATGAAATTGATTGTTTCAAGGCTCTTACGTACGACATGGCGTAGAAGGAAGCTCATAGGAACTAGCTGGATATCTCCTATTTTATGGAACTTCTGGAGTCAGCAGATGGGTGAGTTTTCTTAGTGAAAGAAAATGCTTTCTTTTAATGTTTGTTTTATTATAAACAAATCAGTAATTAAAAAGTTAGATTTGGGCATTGGCCTCCCTATTATTGCCATGTTGGCAATCATGACCCTCGTACATTTTCATTAGTAAGCATTAATATAATTGTGGCTTGTGCAATAATCAGACTTTATACCCCCCCCCCCCCCCCACACACACACACAGCATGATTTAATGTGTACAAAGTCAGGCCAAGAGAATGGTGCAAACTCTTTCCTGCAGATCAAGACACGTAACCCTGACTTGGCCTGCGCTTGTCCCCAGCCGAGACGGGGGACGAGAGCTTGAGCTTACCGTGTGGACAGTGCGGTGCCTTGCTCAACACATCTTCATCAACGCAGACATCTATTCCGCAATGACTCGAAGAAACGGCAGCACACATCCTGCTTGTGTTGTTTAGAATGGGTTTTCAAATTCTATATTTCTATTTCTATCTTGTTATCTGCGACTGAACAATATGAATTAAGCCAACTCTCAGCGTTCATTCATTCATTCACGCTTTTCAACCCCATCCGCCGCACCGTGCAAATTTGGGTAGCGTACTAAGGTGCCAAGGTACCGGTATTGCGGCCTCATGAATAAACATGAGTATATGACGTCACGAACTCACTACGAACTCGCCACGCCTACTCTACCCCCCTTACCATTTAGCGGCTATCTATGTTAACGTTGTCGCCTCTATAATCTATTTTTGTTGTACGTACGGCCGTACCTACACCCCGACTATATATATATACCTACCTATATACCTACATATACTTACCTACCTACCTACCTACCTACCTACCTATATATTATGTCTCATTTTGAAGAAATTCAGTCATTAATTGTTCTCGCTCATATATTAGTAACTCCATATATATAATATATCCTAGCTTGATAGCACCCCTCCATTAATTATATTGAGCAATAGAAATATTAACTCCATCACTATCCATCATTTAAACTTGCTCGAACTTCATCCAACCTAGCACCTCCTCTATTACCCCCTCCATATTAAGCCTTAGAAATATTAACTCCATCTATCTCCATCATTTAAACTTGCTCGAACTTCATCCGACCTAGCACCTCCTCTATACAGCCTAGCACCCCCTCCATTGAGCCTTCGAAATATTAACTCCATCTATCTCCATCATCTAAACTTGTTCGAACTTCATCCAGCTAGCTAGCCTAGCACCCCCTCTATACAGCCTTGCACCCCCTCGAATGAGCCTATCCATCTATCTCCATCATTTAAACTTGAACTACATCCATATAGCACCTTCTCTATACAGCCTAGAGCGACCATTAAGCTTGCATGTTTTCAGACCTAGCTATTACGATAATGTGTATCTGTCCAACCTAGCTTGCACCAACGATATCCTGGCCCCTATATAGCAACAACTCCATTTGTAGCTATTGGTATACGGGTAATTTAACAGAACCAATTTCATTATCTTTCATCAATTATATCTAGCTAGGTGAAGGATTTGAAATGTGATTTTAAAGATATTCTTTCATAATCAGTAATGCAGGATCATACATGCACTTTTCTTTTCCCTCTCAAGACTTACATTACCATACACCTCACTGGTTATCAGTTGAGAAACGGGTCATCCCGGTAACAAAGTAATTTGCGTTCTAAAAAGTCAGAAAATCAGTAACTGAATAAGTGAAATTAGAGACATATCTGAAAATTATTAACTAATTATGAATTTCTAAATATTACAAATTTGCAAAGTGATGACACTGCCTGGCTTCCACATTTTCTACATACCTATTCCAAATATACATATTCATGTTCAGCATGGATAATTTTGAATGGTTTTGAAAGACCTTGAATGGATCATACCGGTAACTGTTTTTATATTGTTGTCGAGTTTTCTCGAACTGATGTGTTTCATTTTTCCATTTTCATAGCAAATAAGTTATTTTTAACTGGAGTATGTATTCATTAAGATATACTCATAATACTTTCAAAGCTTTGAATAATACCTCGCACAAAAGTACACAGATTTTGCAAACGAACACACTCCAGCACACACCCTAGGTTAATTAAGTCCAACATGTTATTTCACATACGGCAACAGAACATTCTCATCATCTGACCCTGTACTCTGGCACTCTTGGTCAACCGAAATTACAAAAATATAATGTTCAAGACAGCTCATAGTCACTTGCCAGTTTTCAAATATGTAATTTATTGTAACGAACCTGTGACTGCCAACTACATGTATGTTTTCTTTCCCTTCAAATTTTGTTGAATCTTACTTTGTCATAGAGTCAACTCTGCTCAGTCAAGTAATCGTAAGTCAAAGGTTTTTAAAGTCCTGCTCTTCATTTTCCATTGCTTTTTTTTTTACCCAAGTCAGATTTTGTCTAGGTGAAATCTATATTTTTTCTATAGTCCCAACGGATTCGACTATGACAGAGTGAAGTGTACATGTCACTAATTTGTTTAAAGTGAATGGAGAACAATTATTATTATCATTATTATTGATCTAGCAATTATGCAATTGATAGAAAGATCTTCACTTCACACCACCTTCTACACCATCCAGCCACGCACAATAAATATAAAGTATAATATAAGGATTAAATCAATTTCAAATAATTGGATTATAAGTATTGTTTTATTTAAAAAACAATGTACAGAAAAAAAAACCATGACTGCATAATTGTCTTAATTTTAAAGATACAGTACATGTATTAGGTGACTGATTTGCATGAATAAAATTCAATAAAAGGAGTACACAAAAAAAATCAAATAGTAACATTTTTGTGGTGTTCGGAGTTGAACTAGCTACAAGCATATTTGAAGGTATATTGTCCCCCTTTTATTAGTTAGTGTAATTTTAAAACCATTCATATTCCTCAAAAACCTGCAGATTTCATTGATTATTATCCTGCACCCAATTCTCACAATACATCTGAAGTGATTGCACCTGTTTTACGTGCATCATAATATGTGTTTCTATGATAAAGACATCATTTTATTCTTTTTGTGTGTGCCTTGCCTTTACTTTTTTATGTATGTTTATAAGGTTCTTGCAAGCACTGCATCACTAATCAGCATGCCTGCAAAATGCATAAAATTGTTATGCTTTTGGTTCCAAAAATATGCTGAGAAAAACCCTATTTTTTAAAGTTATTTCATCAATATTTCTTGAAATTCTTTTACTATTCAGAAAAATATCTTACATAAATATTTGAGGTTATATTTCATATTAATTTCAGAGTCCTTTTTTTGGTTGCATTATTGGAGTGTTCCAAAACTGGGCAAAAATATAAAACAGGGGAAACGCTCTCGGCGGTGTCACCTGCATTACACAATTCAATATGATTAAAAATTGAGGTTAGGACATTATTTATAGGCAGGGTGGCCCGTTAGCAGGCCCCCCAAATTGAAATCCTCTGAATACAATCGGCATTTGAAGTGAATATTGACTTAGAATCACCAAAGAAATTATTTACTCTAATTTTTACCAAGATTGATATCTTTAATGAAATAGGAACAAAAACCAAAAATTGATTTATTAAGTCTCATATTAAGTTGTGAAAACATAATCCAAGTCTACTGACCTAAAATATCCTTGACTTTGTGACCTGGAAGTTGTGTCATATGATTTGTGATACTTGATAATCCTTGGGTACAAGTTTCATGGAATTTAAACAAACACTTTTGAAATCATGATAACATTAAACAGGTCAACGCAAAGCGTAGCATCCCCTCGCAGGGTACAAATGGCCTATATACATCAGAACATTGGACTATATATAATTAATAGGCAAGAAACCACAATTTCACATATATAATTAGGTGTTTTGCATATTTAATGAGCTATGATTGGTGATACTTATTAACCCTTATGTTCAAGTTTCATGGAATAGGAATGTATACAAAATTATGATAAAAATTCAAAATCTTAACCTTTGGTCAAGTTTTGATGTTGATGCTACAACATACTTGAGTCAAAGTTTGTTCACCTGAAATGACCTTTGACTTTGCAACCTTAAATTCTACTCACATGATTGGGGATACTTTACAACCTCTATGTTCAAGTTTCATGGAAGAAGATTATACACTTTTAAAATTATGTTAAAAATTCAAAAACCTAACCCCGGGTTAAGTTTTTGATCATGATGCCACAACAGTCTAATTGTTTAAATCTGAAATGACCTTTCACCCTGACTTTGTGACCTGAAATTGTACTCACATCATTGGAGATTCTAGATAACTCTTTAATCTATGTTTCAGTGAATAAGAACTTACACTTTAAAAAATTCAAAAACTTGACCTGTTGACGCCGCTGCCGTCAACGGAAAAGCGGCGCCTATTTCCAAGTATCAAGTATTTTGTCCATTTATATGTTTTGATAAATATTCTTACTAGTATTTTGAAGTTGCAAAAGAACTTTGCCACTAATTCTCAAAATATCTTCCTTATTATGTGGGGGGGGGGGGCTATCAAAGATTCACTTTTGTTTGTTTAGGCATGTTCCATTTTGTCAAATTTGGAATAATAATTTGCCCATGACATCTGGGCGAAAAACGTATGTAAATGTATTGAAATCAATTTCCTAGTAGTCATGGCACAATCAGCATAAATACGATCTAACAATATTATCAAATAATAGTAATAATAGCATACGGTACTTATATAGCGCATATCACAATATGTCTCTATGCGCTGTAGGAAAGAGTAAGAAGGAAAGGTGGATAGATTAACATAAGAGAAATTTAAGATATGCTCAACATACTAGGCTGTATAGAGGAGGTGCTAGGTTGGATGAAGTTAGTGTAATTAAGTTTAAATGATGGAGATATAGTTATTTTTCCAAGGCTCAATGGAGGGGGTGCTAGGCTGTATAGAGGAGGTGCTAGGTTGGATGAAGTTCGAACAAGTTTAAATGATAGAGATAGATGGAGTTAATATTTCTAAGGCTTAATATGGAGGGGGTGCTAGGCTGTATAGAGGGGGTGCTAGGTTGGATGAAGTTCGAGCAAGTTTAAATGATGGAGATAGATGGAGTTAATATTTCTAAGGCCTATTATGGAGGGGCTGCTAGGCTGTATAGAGAGGGTGCTAGGCTGGATGAAGTTAGTGCAATTAAGTTTGAATGATGGAGATATAGTTATTTTTCCAAGGTTCAATGGAGGGGTGCTAAGCTGTATAGAGGAGGTGCTAGGTTGGATGAAGTTCGAACAAGTTTAAATGATGGAGATAGATGGAGTTAATATTTCTAAGGCTTAATATGGAGGGGGTGCTAGGCTGTATAGAGGGGATGCTAGGTTGGATGAAGTTCGAACAAGTTTAAATGATGGAGATAGATGGAGTTAATATTTCTAAGGCCTATTATGGAGGGGGTGCTAGGCTGTATAGAGAGGGTGCTAGGCTGGATGAAGTTAGTGCAATTAAGTTTGAATGATGGAGATATAGTTATTTTTCCAAGGCTCAATGGAGGGGTGCTAGGCTGTATAGAGAGGGTGCTAGGCTGGATGAAGTTAGTGCAATTAAGTTTAAATGATGGAG